TCGCACTGAGTTCGATGCTCGATCGTATACTAGAATGTCGGTTGAGAATTTACAACAAGAATGACGAAAGCGCATACGACACGAGCGAAAGTAACAACAGCAGCGCAAATGGTCTATGAGTACCGCGACACGACACGAGCGAGAATACGACACCAGACAATATCATACGAGAAATTATGATACGAGAAATTAGGATTGATTGCTATCGACCAGCTCAAATCGTCGTCAGCGGCAGACTGAATAACGACGGAACAGAGTCGCGGTCGACCGATTTCCATAATAGGAGATTTTCGGCACCGAATGTTCGAGAATCTAGGTGTTTGTCACACTTTTTCTTTGTTTTGATCACGCGATCACGCGCTGATCGGCTGATCGCGACGATGCTTATTCTCGCTCGTGTTTTGATTGCGGCTCTTACCGTTCAGATATGTCGGTTGAATTTACAGTTTAAATTCATCGATTAAATTAAACGTTTCAATCTTGAACAGTGAATAATAAATAGCATTAAAAATATATTGATATTAATATATATTTTTGTACAATAATATAAAACCAGATATAACAAAATAAATTAATTTATAGAAATATAAAACATGATTAGTAGTAGAAAAATCCGGCTCGAAGGACCAGAAAATGTTCGAGTGCGAGACAAAATTGTAAAAGTGTGCGAGGATCTTTTGGTTCGCGGAAAATAAATCTCGCGAGTACAATTCACGTTTTTTAATTATAACAAAATAATTAACACGATCACAAATTATACAAAAGTTCCAAATAAAAGCTCGGTCGGTTATAGGCGGTTCACAAAAAGAATAGCGGTTGTCGTAAGCGATTTCACAAAAGGAATAGCGGTTGTCGTAAGCGGTTAACAAAGCGTGTCGAAATGCGATGTAACTATATGCGGTAACTAAACGCGTCAGTGAGTGTCTGGCGCTCCTCACGAGCGGGCCCTTTTATAGCGGTTCTTTAATCTCTCGCTGCCAATAAGTTTGAACCTCCGAGTTCGGTTCGAAGATTCAACGCGGCGCCAAACTTTATTGGCCGCCCCTTGAAATATCGGCGCGAGATGAGATTCGGAGCGAGTGATAGGCCGGTGGCCCGTACGTCACGGGCTACGTCACGGCCTCGCGCGTGCCGGCAGCCATTTATCGCGTGGCCAACCGACAAAGTTGTTTGCGTGTTTTCGTGTAGAACTTATTTGTCACACGGGCTTCAAAAGTCAAAAAACACCAAAAAACCTTAAATAATAATAGCGATAAAAACATTGTTTTTTGACTTTGATCGCGATGGAATAATAATGCGAAGCCCATGTAACAAAGAAAAAATTAATTTAAATGTAATTTAATGCAATCTCAAACATTCCCACCCGCCTCGGCACTCCGTGCCGAAATAAATTCGCGTGCCAAGGAACAGGTGTCGCGACTTGGCCCATAAAGTTCGATTGATTAGCGCGTTCGATCTGGAATGCGTGATCGAGTGAAGCGGGGTGGCGAGCGGGAGTCGCGATATAACCCGTATTTGTTCGAGTTGCGGAAGCTCCTCGAGGAGGAGTTGCCACTGTTGGGCATTGGATGGTGGAAGCGGAGCATCCCAATCCAGTCCTTGTAGCCAAGCGGATTTGATTAGGATCTTCGCGCGGATAATGACTGGAGCGAGCCAGCCCAGCGGATCGAAGAGATGAGCTGTCTCTGCGAGGACTCGCCTCTTCGTGTATTCGGTAGTCGTGCGGGGTTGGATCGCGAACGCGAAATGGTCGTTGCGCGCATGCCATCGGAGACCCAGCGTGGGATAGAGCTCATCTTCTCAGGTATGCTGAGTCTTGAGGAGCCGGTGATCCTGCGGGACTCCGGTGAGGGTCTCTTCGTAGTTGGAAGCCCATTTTCGCAACGGAAACCCGCCCGCCATGCAAAGTCCGCGGAGTTCGTGCTGCAGCGTTGCTGCCTCTGACGTCGTGTTGGCGCCCGATACGATGTCGTCGTCGTAACAGTCACGTCGAAGAGCGGCGGCACCGAGAGGAAAGCGAGATTCCTCGTCGTCGGCGAGCTGGCGCAGAGTTCGAATCGCGAGGAACGGCGCGCACGCGAGGCCGTATGTTACGGTGTTCAAGCGGTACTCCTGGACCTCACGCGTGTTGTCGCGACGCCATAGCACGCGCTGGAAGTCACGATCGTCGGGATGCACGAGAATTTGGCGATACATCTTCTCGATGTCCGCCACAATGGCATAGCGATGCCACCGCCAGCGGAGGACGTCGGCGAGTGCGGGAAGGAGGTTAGCTCCCACTAGGAGCTGCGAGTTCAGCGATTCTCCTGACCGGATGCGCTGCGACCCATTGAAAACAACGCTAAGTTTGGTGGTGATGCTTGATTCGCGCAGCACTCCGTGAAGTGGTAGGTAACAGATCCTGTTGTCGGTGTCAGTTGCGGTTGACCCTTTATTAATTTCGCTCATGTGTTTCAGTTGCTCATACTGCAGCATGAACGAGCGGTAGAGGTCGCCAAATCGAGAATCCCGGCTACCTTTCCGCTCCATTGCGGTCAGCAGTCTCTCGGCTGGCTTGCGAGTTTCTTCGAGGTTCCCTGGGGTAGTGGCGAACGGCAGCCGAACGACGTACCGTCCATCACTCGTGCGTGTGTGCGTTTGCACGAAGAAATTGTTGCACCTTTCTTCCTCGGGTGCGAGAGCGGTGGGAGCGAGCGGCACTTCCTCTTGCTCCCAAAAGCGACGGACCATCGTTGTGAGGTCGTAGTCTGCGGTGCACTGGAGTGAGTTAAGGTGACCATGCAACGTCGCAACGCTGCATCCTCCCGACAGAATCCATCCCAAGATGGTGTTCTGTGCCATGGGAGCTTGCGGTCCACCCTTGCGGATTCCATCCTTGAAGATGGCCGAGCAGATCTCGGCTCCGAGAAGCAGCTCGACGGGGTCGGTGGCCATGAATTCCGGGTCGGCTAACGGCAGTCCCTGGAGATGAGGCCATCCTTTGCGTTTTTGCGGTGTGGAACTTCGATACGAAGAGAGGCGCGGAAGCACGAAGGCGACAACGGAGCACGTCTCTCCGGTCACTCTTGACGTGACTTTGAGCGCTACCTTTCCACGCGAAGCACCGGACAACGATCCGCCGATCTCGAAGATCGTCACTGAAGAGTGATTTCGCGGGAGGTGTAGGCGTTGCGCCAGCGATTCGGTGATGATGGATACCTCGGATCCCTGGTCGATTAAGACGCGAACGGAATGAGGCTCTCCGTAGCGGTCAGCGACGAGAACGCGCGCGGTCGCGAGAAGAATCGCTTTGCGGTCGTCGCTTGGTTTGATTGCGGAGAGTGCGGTTGCGTCGGTAGTCTTCGAAGTCGCGTACGCATCGTGAAACATCGAATGATGCCGCCCCTTGCAAGACCAGCACTTCCTGGTTGATTGACACCTCGCAACCGGATGACTGCCGAGGCAGTTGTAGCACAGTCGATGCGCTTCGACGAAGGATCGACGTTCGTTGACGGGCTTCGCTTTGAACTGCCCGCACACCATGAGCGCGTGTCGCACCTTGCACAAGGCGCACTGTGCCGCGTTGGATTCGTGTCTAGTGAAGTGAGTTTTCGCGGGCTTCGGTGAGTCTCCGGAGACCTTGACGGTTTTCGGTTTCGCGGCGTTAAGCGTGAGAGATTAATGTTGGATGATATATCTCCACCTCAATCCGAAATTAATACGATTTCTACGATTTCAAATTAAACATGTTTTAATGTAATTGAATTGGAATTTACCATAGTCAATCCATAGGTAAAAATAATCCCTCTTAATAAAAAAATAAAAAATTTCGCAGATGAAAAGTAAATCGATTTTATG